CCCCCCCCCCCCCCAGCATATTTCTTAATTCCAAATGTTGGACTTAGTTTTTCTTTAATGCACATCAACAGGAGGCCCTGTCCATTCTGCCCTTTGGACCAGAGATGGGCCCCCGCGCTCATGACAATCAGCCATGTGCTTCAACTTTGAAACAGCTTTGACTCACCAGTGGCACTTTTACTTGTCATAGAGAATACGCGCATCAGAGCAAAGCAAAGTTGGAATATTAAATTTTAAAATCAGTTACATAAATCCCAACACATTTTTTAACTGTCACTTTCAATTTCCCACACAAATGGCTAGAAAGTGTTATATGTGGTATGAGAATTTGTTATAAATTTCTTTTTCTTAAATATTGCTTTAAGAATTTGGCTCTTTTCTCCTTAGTATATAGTAAGAAATAGTCTCCCTTGCCCAAGGGCAAGTTTCAAAATTATTGCTACTAAACAAATATGTATTCTTATGCTTTTCAGCATAAAATGTTATAAAAGCCTTGTAAAAGGTAATCTATAGAGTAACCTCCCCTCTAAAAAAATTGAGTGCTTGTGAAGACCATTTTAAAAAACAAAACACAGTCAACAAATATATACTTTCCCCCTCATTGTCATGATTGATGGAGATTTATTAGTTTCATTTTGCAAGTTTTACTTGAAGGGTGCTTTTACCAGGTATTATGACAGGTCACACCGAAAGCAATTTTCTATAAAAGATGTTACAGTAACTCCTATGGTACTTGTGTAATTTCATATTTGAGAGCCAAGTGCACAAATAAAAAGTTTATAAGAATTACCCTGTTGTTCTGACTCTGATTCTTGTCCCCTAAAAAAAAAGAAAAATCTGTGCCAAGTAAGCATTTTTTTTTTTTTTTTTTCCCTTTCTGAGAACTCTAAACCAATACAATGTTTGATATGAGTCCTGTTGTTCTGGAGATCGACTAAAATAAAAGCACAGTTATCGTTTAGCTTTGGTATATTCTGCGATACATTGAGACAAGTAGAATATATACCAACCCTTATATTTTCCAACCGTGAAGTTACAATGAGGGAGGAAGTAACTTAGGAGAGAGAAAATATTACAGACACAGAATAAAAGTTTGAGACCCAGTTTATCTTTAATCCTCTGGGATAAGCTATGGAACAAGCAGTCTGAAGAGAGGACACTCAGTGTCATGAACGGTATATGCATCAGTTACAATAACACGGGCACAGAAGCGATTGTCGCCTTTAGGACACTAGGGCCATCTGAGTGTCTCACATCCATGCACGCCACGTTCGCTGCATGAATATGCCACAGGTTTGTAGCGGACGTTGCCATTTAATGCCTACAGAGCGTAAAGCTTCCAAAGTGCCTATCTGGCCTGTACATATTTCATTAAAAATAAACTCTATAGAATAAATAAATATATAAAATAAATAAAATGTTGCCTTTGGAATTTCTATAAATAAATTTAACTTTTTTTCTTTTTTTTTCTTTTTTTTTTTTTAACTAAGAGGTCTTTGCTTTAAATTCACTGGGATGACACCCGTGACAATGAACCGAGAAAGTCTCGTCGGTCAGACCGCACCCTCCTGCCTGTGAAAATGCAGCGGGGCCCCCCTCGGGCCGCCAGCCAGATCCCGATGCGTCCAGGTGTGGCAGCTCTGCTGATGAGGATGAAGGACAAGAGGTCGGACGGGAAAGCGCATCTATCCCCACATGCATCGGCTGGTCCTCTCTGCAGCCCCACTCACCCCCTCACCCTGCGGCCTCCTGCCCTCTGCTCACCACCCACCCGGCAGCAGTGTGCAGGGGGTCCCGAGAGAGGACGAGCCTGGAGAACAAAGTCAGCATGTCCCCTCCACGCCTCCGTCAGACTATGCATGCGACAAAGTTTGGCAACAGTGGAGCTGATGTGATGACACAGCAAATCAATAAGAACCCACCGCGTGAAACCTTTATAGTGGTTACTTTTTTAAGGGCTCAAGTGAAGAAACGGTCTTTGTCAACTTTGGCTTAGGATACCCTTATAGAGTTCGGGTACTTTGTCGGGGTCCACTGGTCTGGGTAAAAAATGTGTGAATTTCTGGTGCCGTTTAGTCCTCGTTCCTTCTCTGGGGGTCCCGTCCTTATTTAACGCGACATAGAACCGCCTTCCAGTGTCCACGTGTTTATACAGATTCGAGGAGTACGTGTTATACCAGTTTTCTTCAAACTGTTCTCTGAATACACACTCTTGGGTTAGTTTTTCCTGTTAAAAAACAAAAGCAAATATTTTGCAAAAATTAGCTACTTTCCGTATTGAAAGCAATTGCTACATAACATAACTGGTGACAAAATATCAATTTTAACCCACTTTAAGTGCACTTTGCAAAAACTGCTTACCTCTATAAATTTAATACCTCCTAATTTCCTTTCATAATGATTAAAGCACAAAAGAGTCTCATTTTTGCTAGTTAAACTTTTCCACATGCCAATTATCTGAATGAGTCAGTAGGCAAAGGCAGCTAACGCCATGAGCTGTTCCCATTTTCACCACAGCAATGAGGATGGTGACCATCCTGGGGGAAGGGCCTTTTCGAAGAAAGAGTCTCAAAGTGACGCTTCATCTTCGGTGTGTTTGTCATAAAGTCCTCGCCACACAGACCAACACCACCAGTGACGTCAGAGATTTTCTGCCCTTTGACGAAGTGGAGGTTATTCATTGCACTAGAAGAGTGCTTTTCAAACTTCAGTGTGCAGAAGAATCACTTGGGGATGCTTTTTTCTAAGTGTAAATTTCCAATCCCCAACCTTTTTGAATTCTGATCCAGAAAGTCTGGAAATACGCATTCTGAACAGGCCTTGTGTAAGTCCGATGCAGCCAGAGTCCACATTTTGAGATACGATGCTTTCTATTAGGTCTGGGTCTTCCTGAGTACAAAGAAGTAAAGACCAACATCCTCCTTGAACTTAGAAGAGCCACCACACGCTCCCCCCCAGTTTAAAAGCAGAAAGGTTCCACATTTCATAAATGTATTACACTTCACCCTCCACCAGAGCTCTATGAAAGCCTGGGTTCCCTGGAACCCCATAACCTAGAGCCCCTGCAGCCGCGTGTCTCGAGGGCAGTAAGGACCAGAAGCGATGCACACATCACACCCCAAACCGTGAACGCGTTCCAGGCACAAACACGTGCTTCTAGCTGTGCCTGGAGAAGTGAGGCAGCGGGTGGACCAGCTCCTCTTTCTTCTTCTTACCATGTTGAAACTTTAAGATCAGCACCTTCCCAGATGGCAGTGCTAAAAAATAAACACTAAAACGGCTTCTGAAAACATTCCCTTTGCTCTTGCCCACCTGGCCCCTTATGTAAATAAGAAAACCTACAAATACATGTCCACGCAGTTACACACTTGAGGACACAACTTAGTGCACTGATTCACAGCCAGCCGGGCAGAAGGCATCATCTCCAGCTGCCGTGGTCGCGTCGGGAGAGCGAGGGTGGGGACGGGGGGCGTGTCAAGCTGAGGATGCTGAAAACCAGCGGCCAGCGTGAGCTGGCTTCCCCACGTCACTCCTCCGCTCACGGAAGGCTTAAACCACCCAGAAACACAGGGGACCTGCACCTCCTGGGAGCTGCTCTTCTAGGCCAGGGGTCCCCAACCCCCGGCCACCGACCGATACCGGTACTGGCCCGCGGCCTGTCAGGAACCAGGCTGCACAGCAGGAGGCGAGCGAAGCTTCATCTCCCGCTGCCCATCCCGCCCCCCGGCCCCCCCCACCCCCGTCGCTCGCATCACCTCCCGAACCATCGCCCCGCCCAATCCGTGGAAAAACTGTCTTCCACGAAACTGGTCCCTGGTGCCAAAAAGGTTGGGGACCGCTGCTCTAGGTGATCAAAATGTACTGAGCAGGTTGGTAACAAAATCTTATCTCCTTGGACCAGTCTCTGCTGAGCTGGAACAAGGGAAAGCAACAAAAGCAACCAAAAGCATCGAGCAGGACAGAAAAGGTTGGGGCTGCTCTAGGTGATCAAAATGTACTGAGCAGGTTGGTAACAAAATCTTATCTCCTTGGACCAGTCTCTGCTGAGCTGGAACAAGGGAAAGCAACAAAAGCAACCAAAAGCATCGAGCAGGACAGAATGATGGGGAAACTCTGGGCAGCTGATGCTGGGTTTATAGGGACAAGGTGCGTTGCAGGGGGCGAGTGGCACCTGCAGCTCCCCTCACCCGGGCGCTAGCAGAGAAGCCCCTCACCTCCCTCCAGGAGCAAACCTAGAGGAAACCCCCTATGCTGGGGAGACCAGGCTGAACGTGATTTCTGTTTCAATTCCATTAAAGTGGACAAAATAAAAATAGTGTTAAAGACTTTAACAGCTATTTCAGACTTTACTTCCATCTGTACAATAAATATTCTCCCCACAGACAAGATTATTCCTGGCTTAAAATGTCTGGCTTGAGTTTGCAGTGATTAAGTAAATTTTCTAAACAAGCGATGTTCATTTATTTTCTACTTAATAAAGGTGGACCGAAGTAGGGAATTGTAGAGCCTTCAGTTCTACCAAGGAGATGAAAAAAGAATTCAAATTAAGCTTTCTTTTTCTCAGC